AATCCTTAAAACGTCAAAGCAATAAATGCACTATATTTTTTATGGTATTATAATAGTATATATTATGCAACAAGTGCGGTAAACGGCATTTGAGTCACGAGTTTATTTGGCACGAGAGGAGCGCAGTTGTTGCATAATATACTATTACAGAAGGGAGTAGAAAAAGAAATTAGCGAAATTGCATTCGAAAATGAAACATGAAATATGAACTTCCAATTTTTATTAATAAACAAATACTACTGTTTAACACATAACAAAATCCCAAAAAATATGAATTATTACAAGTTTGAAACGCAATGGCCACAAACGTACAGGCTTTCGGAAAGAATTTGCAGCTGCGCAGCCTCCTCGAAACAACTTGTACATCGAGTTTATTGCACTTGTTTACGTATTACAAAATGTATATTTAAAATATAACCGAATCGCTATTTTGTGTGCAATAGTCACCATATATTGTTTTTATTAACAATCCATTTATTCTACGGGACATATACTTTTGTTAACTAAAACATTACAGAACCAGGATAGTGTATTCTCACTTATAAGAAAACATTGAACAAAATTAATACTTAATGAATTTTTGTTAAAAGAAAGTTATAAGTGACAAATAATTTATTTTAAATGCCGTTTGACGTTATAGTTTCGATAGCGTTCAAGTACGTAACAGGGTGCCAATGGTGAGACAAATTTATAAAATATAAATTATCAATGAAGTGTTTTTTATCGTTAGATCTAACCTCCATTTTTTTATTATAACCGATAGTAATAAAGCTCCTAGCTTCATTGTCAATAAAAAAAATATATACAAAAAAGATTACAATAAAAATAAAAGTTTTGTTATAATTTTAAATTAAACTCCAAAAAACGAGTTATTTTATTAAACCATTGTAAAACAATTTGTGTCAAATAAGTGACTCAAATAACTGCAAGCGAAAAATAAAATATAAATTTAGATACCCTGTTTAAACGTTAAACAGGTATTAAAAAAAGTGAAATAAAAGATTTAATATTTCATCCACTCATTAGTTTTTCAACAATTTTAATAGCTAAGGTCACAGAACTGAATGTTGAATGTCTCTACCATTTACTGATCACACTAGTATAAACAGTAAGTAACGAGTTAATTAAACTGAATAAAAGATTACCAGGTCAACTAAGTCATAATAATACAGACAATGATTGTATTTTTTTTATGTAAATTTGTGTAAATGCAAATAAAGTCGAAATTACCAAAGTCGTTTATGCGCAAATATATTAAAATTTTCTTACGTGGGTTGATGCTTAAGAAAATTGTATCAAAAATTGATAAAGTAACAACCTAGCGTAAATAAAAGTGAATATTGGTCGAATAAGTAGTAGTATTACATTTCGTTATCGTACTTGTTAGAAGATATCTAGTACTTACAATAAAAACCAACAATACACGCTAAGTGCAAAAACATATTTCGTATATAACAGAAAAGCCTAATATATATATATATATATATATATATATATATATATATATATATATATATATATATATATATATATATATATATATATATATATATATATATATATATATATATATATATATATTAGTGGCTCACCCACAAGTCGTCTATCATGGTTATAAAAGTGATCCGTTTGAATACGCACATTTTTTCTAATCTCACTGTCCTACAAAAAACCTAATAAAATCTGCATTTATAATATCATACCATTACATCAGGTAGCATTAAAATTATCGCGAATAAGCACAAAAGACAAAAAATAATAATTTCTTCCCATTTCTATCGTCTGCGACCAATATTTCTCCACGAAGGAAAAAATTTACTTGCTCTTTAAATAGACAATTTTCAAGAAAATTCCTTTTTAACATATTTCAACTTTTGGCATTATGCATACAACATTCTATTCCCTAAAATTCAAGAATAGTGACCCAAATAATAATTTCATGTTATCATAAAAAAAGCTAATGGACAATTTGTTTAAAAAACTGTAGTTATTGCAATTTAACCAGGAAAATTAAAAATTATTATAAAAAATGTTAACCCTACCGTTACGACGCTTGCACTACGTATGGAAATACCTTATTCACCAGCTGCCGAACCATTGCAAAACGATGGAATTTGTATGTATGTCCGGGAGTAGTCCAAAATATGCCAATGCTATATTAGTAACGACGTAACATCGGCCATTTCGGATGTTATACTGTAACATATAAGTTTTACGGGTGTTTTTGAGTTCTTGTACGGTTTTTAATTAGTAGAGACTATTTAACGGACTTCGTCATTATTTATAAAATGTACTATGCCATAACAGTTTGTAAATATCAAAATTGAATATGAAACGACAAATTAAGAGTATTATTTATAATGAAAACATGACCTATAGTCAACAGCCTTAGTAGTAGTGGCCAATTAAAGGGTAAAAAAAAAACTACAGTGATAGTGATAATGAAAACATAACCTTAGTAGTAATAGATTAAATAACAAAACAAAACTAGTGACACTGATCAATTTGCAGGTTGCCCACTGATTGTGACACCATTTAAGATCGAACTTAAAATGCGAAATACTAATACTACACTCTTACTACAGCATGATCAGTTTAAAAAAATTTATTAATTAATTTGCTGAAAACTTATTACAATTACAGTTTATATTTTGAATTTGAAAATTAAGAAACAACCTTACAAGGTTTGGATCTCAAATTTCTACAGCTGCCGAAAAAATGGCCGTCCTACGTCACACAAATACATTGTTAGCAAAAAAATATATAAAAATTAACTTCCCTTTTAAATACAAGTCTAGCGGTGTCGGCTAAATAGGCACTTATTTGCATCGACTTCAAAGTATTTCATATGGATCGTGCAGCTACAGGTGTAGACTAATTTATTTTGTATAATCGGTTATTTTTTTATCTAAGTAATCATTTTAAATATATTAATTTTCTAAAAAAATATACAAAAACGTCATCTTAGGTTAGAATTATAAAATAGTTCCGCTTAATAACACCATTTTCCTTAGTTTGTGTTGGCTCCATCACTGCATTACTTTTTTTTAATATAAATCTGCATTTGTTTAGATTTAGTGGAAGCGCGCTTAATTTAATTTAATTAATTTAATTAAAAGCTACTGAAAAATTTTCTTAGGTCCAAGTAAGATAATATGAATAAAAAGATGTTTGAAAATTATGTAAAACAATATTATATAAAACAAACAAATAATAAAATATTAAGTGAAACAAAAACAAAGAGAAAGTGTTTATATGATTTTCATATTCAGACAAGTTATAAAAGACATTTGTGGTCAGTAATCATTTTAAATATTTTTTGGATTCCTTTTGGTTAAATACCCCGATTTGTTTGCCCGAAATGATTTTATATAGTAACAATTATTAAATTGGGTTAACTTACTCTTTAAAACAAAAAATTATACAACCGAATAATTGAATCATTTTAATGTAACAGCTGTAGTATACATTTTGTTTATTGAAAAATAACGAACAAGTTTCATGTTTATTATACAAGTCCGGTACATACATATTTGCATGGTTCCATTTGTATATATAAGCATGGTTCTTGAACTAGTAGGGAAAGTTACATCTGAAAGTATGAAGAAAATGAGTGATGGGAACTAACATGTAAACAAACATTTTAAATAGAACAAATAACATGCTAATACAACATTTTTTGTGGCACAATTAATATAAAACAATATCTTATTAAAACCAACTGCAATGTTTGTTTCATTATTTTTATACAATTTGATTGTTTAACAGTGAACCAATAATTTAAATATAATTTGTTGAACAAAATTATTTGTTAAAATTAAATATTAAAACAAAACTTCTGTCACATATAAGAAAAAAATTAACATTATCAAAAAATAATCAAATTTATGAAACATAAAATAAGGAAACAATTTAATTGACCATCTTAAATATTCCATAAAAAAATGGGATCAAAATCATTTTTAATATTTAACGTTTGTCAAACATTCTCATAGCTGCATTTAAATTATTATTATTATAATTTCTATGAAATGTTTTAATTTAAATTATCAACAAACAATTTAATTGGGCTCTGTATATTGCGGCGGCCAAGATTTGCCGAAGTCATGATGCAACCACTAGCATTCGTCTTCCTTTTTTGCTAGTTCCTAAATTATTTTTACCGCCAAGTGAGTGTTTATAACCTATATATGTAATTATCTAATTACTGCAAATTAGTGAAATAGTTATAGTATGCAATCTGTGCAATCTGGGATATAACTTGGGAAAAGAAATAAATGTATTTACTATTTTAACAAATGTCTTCTGGTCGTCTACTCGATTTAATTTCGCAACTTCGAGTATTTCGATTTTGAGCCGGGTTGTGAGCAGAGGTAGAAAAGTTGCATCCTATTTTTTTGAAAAAAAGCCTCCTTCTCCGTAAGGCAAATTCATATCAATTCATATCACATCTAAGCCTTTAATGTAGCAACCAAAAAAAGAAGAAGAGTTCTAGTTGTGGCATCGTGACCTAAGAAAACTTACATAAACCGCCCAATTAAAATGTCTTTTGATAATTTTAATTAATAAAAATAACGAAAATTTTTATTATTTCATATTTATAATTCATAAATAAAACGGGTGTTAAGACTTTTAATTAGGATGTTCTTACAAATATGTAAATTGTATTTGTATTGTAATTGGATATATTAATGTGTTTCTTTATTATTCCTTGTAATGTAGTTGAACTTTTGGTGTAACATTTCAATTTCAATAGGTCAATTTTGTTATTATAATTGTTATACGAAAATATTTTCATTAAATAATGAAACGGCGTTGCACATAGACTTAATTTTTTTTAGTTCTAAAAACATCTGTGCTACAGTCATGACTATTGGTTTTAAGTAGTGTATCAATCCAATTGTTCTTTTTTGTTGGACAAAAATTTAGTCCGAGTACATTGCTATTCTCCAACTTATGATATTGTAGAGATTTTTGTATTATATGTTTTATAATTTGGTGGTTTTGGAAGTGCTACTCGCTGTATATCTAAAAGTGTGGTTTACACTATCTGATTTTTTTAATTTTATTTGCATTTGACTTCACACCATTAAATTTTTTACTTGACTCGTCCGTTTTTTATTTGATTTGAAATTTGTTATTTCTCGAATGCAACAAACTATTATTATATTTTTTTGGCCGAGTCCGATATTATATTTAACGTTATGTTATTCATTTTGTTTAATTATTCATAATAAGTTTATCAGGTGTGTGACTCCATTTGACAATTGTCAGATGTGTCTAAAGTTAGTATTCTCGAATGATAAATTAGATGGGAAGTCAGACAATGTAAACACACTTCAAATTATAAATAATGTCAAAGTTAGAATAAATGGGTCACTTCTGCACTGAAATATGCTTCACACAAACACTATCTACACTGAACTCGAATTAAAATAAATGAAAATGTCGTTGTCGATGTAAAGTACCTATTTTGCCGACTCGACAAGATCAGTTCGGATACTATATGACCCAATTAACACTAACATCGAGAGAAGGTAAAATATACATTCAACATATCCTTGGATTATTGCTTTCCGTCATAAAGAACGATTTGCTGCAACGTTTCATTTACCGTTCAACAAAAAAAAAAAAACGCTTTATTTCTCTACCGATCAAAAATCAACAATTCGAAAACGAAAAAAAAAATAAATAAATAAGCGCGTCGCCTGGACACAAAAAAGACATTCGCGACGCCTGTCATGTATATCTTGTTCTTAATAAATAAAGGGGAGTGTAATCTCACTTTAAACAAATATTACTTTCCTCAATATTATAATCTAGCTTGATTTCCATTAGTCTAGTGGGGGGTGCTGGGGAGCAATCGAAACTACCAAAATGTATAGCCGCCCTCCGAACTGCCCGCCAAGAACGTGTTCTTTTTTTGACCTAGCGCCACTTGGTGTCCGGCCATGGCAGCCAACTGCGCGGCGGTCGGTGGCACGCCTGGGGGCGCGGGTGGTAACACCTGTTGCGTGATGCCGTCGAACCGCGCCCCCGTGTCGTATCCATTCTGGAAGAGGTGCGGATTCTATTTCGATTATCGACTGTAAACTCGGGTCGCACATAGTACAGGATCACGCAATAGCGTGCAAAGTCCTAACACAATTCATCAAAAAACAAAAAAATGCCAATTTTCAACGCCATTATAGAACCCCAAAATTTTGAGCTCCTACTTTCGTAGTACCTTCCTGTGCCGCTTACTTTAGTTTACTCAGTCATATTCGCAACATTGGAGAGCAACATATTCTGCCATTTCACTATATATCTCTAAATAATTTTTACTTAAGCCCCAATTGCAAAATACTAAAACTTTTAATATTCTCGCTTTAGATTATTATAAAAACAGTTTCTGAGTACTTTATTATAGTGTATCTGGTATGGGTATAGCTATATTCAAAAAATAATATCGGATTTCGATTCCTGGCTCTCGAAAACCCCCCCCATGTAAAATTATATCTGATTTCGGGAAATGACCTTTAAATTTATTCATTTACAATCCTGGGAGACGGAAATCCTATAAGTTTTTGGTCTTTCCCCTATCGGATGGTGCCGTTGATTATAGATCGTACCGATCGTCGTCAGGAATGATTTGTGTTAGAGGGTCAAAATTCTCAAAAACAAAAATTAATTGGGGCTAAAAAGAGCGGCGTAGGAGGAACTTGGAGCCACGTAGTTTTTTCACAAACAAATGAAAATGTTAATTTTTTGCAAAATTCACGACCAAATAAAAAATATTCATAAAAATTCTCGATAGAGGTCGAGATGTGGGCAACTTTCAAATCTTAAATGGAAACCCCCATTTTTTATTAGATTTTCGGTCAGGTTTTGTCAAAAATTTTCTCTCGGATTCTCCATAGATGGCGCTCAAATCGCAAAAAAACGATTTTTCCAATTTGTCAAAAAATTCTAAAATAAAATTAGTTACCCAATAAACTTTGCGCTAAATATTGCATTATTGTTTAAATTTATTTTAAAGTTGTACATTTTATATTTGTATATTTTTTCTACTCCCTTCTGTAAAATACATAATTAAACATCAATCTAACGTGCAGAAAGTGTCATTTTACCACGTCAGTTTCGTTTCCCACGGATCCGAGCCGCTTCGGACAGTTTCGAGATATTACCACAGGGGTTTAGGGGTTTAGGAGCAATCGGATTGGCCCCTCAGGTTTAGTGTTATTGGTCAGTTTTTTCATTCAGGATTTACTGAATTAGATGCAAATTCCCATTTTATTACTCTACACGTTTCTGAAACGGATTATAGATACAACGAAGTTGGCAAACCTGTATAAAGTAATATGTGGCCCCTTCATAAAGTGTCGCTAATGCATTTTTAATATCGTAACATGCTAAAATTTATTTAACATTAAAAATAAAGTTGAAAATTTATAATAAATTATGTAGTTTTTTTAAAAAAATGTCTAGCTTTATTGGAAACAAAATGGTGACGTGGTACTCCTGCAAGCACTTACCGGTATCATGATGGTCGGTCGCAGTTGAGCAGGCTGCATTGCATAGGAGTAGGCACCCAATGAAGGATAATACTGCATCGGAGTATATGTGGGATAACCCAAATAGCTGGGATAACCAGCGGCATACATTGTCCCTGGGGGGTACATCTGAATAAGGAAAAAAATAATAATCTCCCTGCTTTAAGCAGAAATGAACATTTAATGTTTAATTAATCAAACTAAATAAATCGTATTTCTAAACAGCCGGTGCTTGTATTTACATTTATTACATTGCTGAAAATATTAATTCATAAAATAAATTAAATTAAAGTAATAATGTAATAGTACTTACACCGAGACTTGTAAAAATATTTTTAGGCTCTATTTGATTAAACAATTTGATAAACACTAATAAATTTCATTAACTATTGATGAACTTAATAAAATAATTTAAACAGTGGTATATTAAAGATTGTTTGAAACCAATATTATTGGGATGGAATTGATTTAATTAAACTCGGTTTGGCTTACATGCTGCCCGACAATGGCCGGGTGGGTCAAACTCTGATCGTAAGTGGGCGGAGGACCTTGAGGATATAGCTGAGTCTGTCCCGGGATTACATAAGGAGATCCTGGCATTCCAGGCATAACTAAAAAAAACAATTTTAACACGTCTCAAAAATATTTCCAATATTAACAACAATAATATGAAGCTTCAGCCACTGACAACTCACCCCCGTAAGGCTGGGGTGTGGGGACAGGTGGATTAGGCTGCGGCGGCGGTTGTGGGGTAAAAGATGGAGCCGAAGAAGGGGGGGGCACCGCACCCCCGATGGCTGTAAACCGAATTAATCACCATTTACATTGTATTTACATTGTATCTACAACGAAAATTGAAAAGTATATGCAGCAAACTTTTTAATTCGGTGCTTTTAAATCGTTCGTTTTTTGTTAAGTCGAATAGACGTGTATAAAATAATTAATTAAACAAGTCCCAAATGCCGTACTTTTTTTGGTATTAAAAGATACAACTCTCCGTTTTATCCTAAATCGTACATAATCCTTACATGCTCGAAGTTCGTAAATTAAAGAAATTCTTAAATGTTGGGACGTTATACGTGTCTAAAGTCAGTGGACCGCCATTTTTTTGAACGTATCTTCTTAAAGATGGTATTTTCACCTCGGTTCTGGAAACAATTTACATTTCTTTAAAACATACAACGATAACATTTAGTAAATTTATCTATCGATTAATAAATCAGTTTAAAAATCACGTGAAGAAATGTAAATAGAATCCGGAACTTGGGAATGTCAAAATATAATATATGCATTTGAAATTAAAGAAAATAATCTCTTTCAATTGAATTAAGTCTAAAAAATTACGCGCTCACAACTTTGAACATGATTAAAAGTTCTATTAAGGAAAAAACGATATACTATGCAAAATAACATACAGAATCAAAAGAAATAAACACGAAGAGAGCAAAAATCGTGTAACGCACAACGTTCGTATTTAATAATCCGACTTATATAATCAAAAATCAATCTGCTAAGCTGTTGCATATTCACTTATAAGTTGACACCCCGACAAAAACATATTTATATGTCGAGTCATGCAAATTAAAAGATTTATTTTACAATCTCACTTTCGTTTTGGGCGAATTCGGCCGAGTTCCATGAAAAATAAATCTTATTTCGAAAAACATGCAAAATGAAAATGTAAAATAAATATATTTCAATTCTTTCCTATTGGTATTGAAATATATTGATGATCTAAAAGAAAAAATAAAAAAGCATCCTCAAATAAAATCGATAACCGTGCAAACGTAAATTTTTAACTTAAAAATTCAAGTTTGCGTTGTAATTTAATCTAAATAAAGCTAAAAAAATGGTTAAGAAGCAGGAACAAATAAAATCGGGTGAAGAAGGAATAATGCAAGTAAGTTGAAAATTTAACGAAAAATACCTGCTATCCTTTGCACTAATAATCTACTGGCATGCATTTTTCGCATTTATGGTGTGTACCGAATGATATGCTCGAAGAAGTCAATTGTTTTACAAGGACACGTAATATATGAAATATCATTTGTTCTTTTTTCAGAATTGATGCCTTATTATTACCACAAACTTAATTCGACAAACACCACAAAAGCAATCTCTAAAATCTAGTATCTAGTGGGGGTTTTACTTAATCTAAGTTATTCACATATTAATAATATTATATCAAACAGTATAAATACAAAAAACTCCCTTAGACCTGTTGCAAATATTATAACACGCAGCTACCAAAGGAACCTGGTGAGTGTGTACGAAACAGTTCCTTTGATAGCTAAAGTGGTTTTGTTGTAAAAAAATTAGCGACGTTGATATGTGCTTGAGCGATATAGCCAACATGTTGTAGCAAACACGGGTAAATCCTTATCACCCTACACCCACACACCACAAGAGATATGTAACGAGCAATTCCATCTTTGATATCATCTCAAATAATAGAAGAATATAGATTTTATTAGTTAGCTTGAATTGATTTTACATCAAATGTGTTACATATTTCTTGAACTTCAACATGCAGTGAATATAATAGACCACAAATTGTCTAAAGTTGGACCATTGAGAATTTTTACATCTTCAGCTACAATAATAAGTATTTTTACATCTCCACATTTAGATATGGTTCCAAAATAATTTTCGAGTTTGTGTAAATCAACAAACTTGTTAGAAAAATCTCATACGCTCAGAATATTTGTGGGTTGGCAAGTTTAAAAAGGTGTATTTTTGAGTTTGTTTGAAAAAAAAATAAAATTACAATACCAAATTTTTGCAATATTATGGGCGGCCAGGAATTTTATCATTCATTTATAAACAAGTAAAATTTCCCCAACAAGTTTGCAAATTGAACTTGTTTTAGAATTTCAGCAAATACACCTAGGTCTGCCCAATAGCAGATTTCTGAGCTCAAAGAATAGCCTAAGCACCGATCTTGAATGAAATAACAACATAAATGCAGAGTTGTAAAAAATCTCCAACCAAAAATCTAGTGAAGGTAAATCGTTGAGCGGGTATAACCAACAAGCATCAGCCATTGTATTAAACACATGAAAAGAAATAGGTACTGTTTTTTTCGATGTCCAAATCTCCAAGGCAGAGCTTTCTGGGTCCTCCTGTACTCTTGTTTTAAAGCAGGTGCTGCAAGTAACACATTTTGATGACAATCTGGTCCTAAATAAGAGAATTAATAAAATCTCTATTATTGGACTGCAGTATTTTGCAATGCAGAGCAAGGCTATTGAAAAAGACATGTGACTAAGTTACCTGGCACAGAGAGAGATAACCTTATTAATTTTATTGATTTAAACGTCCTGCATATTCTTATGTATTTTTGCACAGTTTCTACCTACTTCTGTAGCCCTTTCCCAGCCTGTTCATTTTTAAGGGTATTCTATGAACGGACAAATATTGTTTTGCTTACATTAACTTAAATTATTGGAAAATAAGGCGGACAAATTTGCTGCAGTTTTTGGATCATTAAATATTCCTTACCTTTCTTGTCAGCCATATTTTACACCGTCTTCGAAAAGCACCAAACAATAATTAATAAGACAGTTTAGAGTTTTAACGTATTAAACACAAAAAAGAACACTAAGATTTTGCAAAAAATTTACGTCAGGCAAATAACTAGGACGTCGAACACAAAATAGCCAAAAAACCACAGTAAAGACCGCGCTGAGTTTGCATAGAACAAAAGGGAAAGAAGGAGAGAATTTTAACATCGGCGATTTAATACCGCCACTTTGGCATTAGCGCGTGGTCCTGCTGTGACGCATTCAGTGGTTCCTTGATACTGTTTTGAGGTTTTAAAGCAAAATACGGTATCCTCTTTAAAGTATGTCTACTAATTGATTAGATCCTTCAACCTTCAATATTTGCTGTTACCATATTGAGCTATAGAAATAAAGAAAAATTAAGAAATCTCTTACTAAAAAATAAAAAGATTTTATAAAAATCAAAATAAACATAGGCAACTAGATTTTAAAATTCCAGATATTGTTCAACCACTATAAGTTTTTTCGACATAAAAGCATGCTTAGTAGCTACAAAGGTAAAAATGCGTTATTAGTAAAGACGAAAACTGTATGTATAAAAAATGAAAGAGCAGTCCCTAGGTGTGTCTATGGGGGCTGGAGTAACTCGTTGAAAGTTACCCCTGGGAAGCTTTTTTAAAATTATAAAATAATTTGCAAACTAAAACAGATTGATGGTTTGAGTAGGCGGCCACGTCATATTAGGTCATGATCGTAATGAGAAATATCTAACCTCTTCCGTTTTCAGCCTTTTTTATACCAAGTGACGTCCGCACTCCGCTTCCTGTATAAAATTATTAAAATCATAGACGACTACTGTTGCAGTATTCTGTGCCAAAATTGACAAGTGGTATATAACGGTATAAGGCAAGGAAATTTGTTGTTCAATTTTTATGGTATTATGGGTATGTCACAATAGCTTAGCAAACGGCAATTAATCATATATCTCAAAAATTACTTTTAAATAGTTAACTAATCCAAGATCCGTAAACGTAATTGTGTTTCTAGATACAGCTTACGAGGTTGGAAATTCAATGGATATTTTGTAACTGGTATTTCACGTGGCCGCTTCCTCATTGTCATCTCTTTGCTTCCACTGATGCTTTCAGTAAGGGAGATAAGTTTTTGTGAAACTTAGTCATAGTATATGTGTTGGTTTATTAACGAAATAAAAATCACGAGGACGTGCGTCGGCAATGGGCGGGTGTCCCTAGATGGCTTGCCTAACGTATTAAAGAAAGAAGAAAGAATAGGAAGTTTTGACATTGGCCAATCAATTGAATCCAGGAAGGATACTGTGGATTACTTTTATGGAGTAGAAGGAACGAATGGCTAATTTACCTACGGGGCTTGTAAGTCATACCAGACGGGTGCAAAGTTTATATAAGAGAACTCTGAGGACTTTAGAAGACTGGTATGACAGAAGGTATTATTTATGAGGCAGATTTTACGGGTTATGTAACCGTTTTCCTTTTTAGAGAAGTATACAGGTATGAAGCAACTTTAATGCGAAAAAGATTCGATGATAATAGAAATATAACCGATATGAGAGTGGCGAAGGAGCTTATCAATCAAGGGGAGTCAGAGTTATCAAAGAACGCGCACTATCAACCAAAAAAATGTAAGAATCATTTAGAATACAAGGCATCATGGTAATTATCTGCACTTTTAGTTCCGCTTTCCCCTGGTGGAGTGGCCTATGAACGAGAAGTTATACCCCCAGATTGGGTTGTCGATTATTGGCACCCCATTGAAAAAGCTGAATATCCAGAATATTTCGCGAGAAGGGAAAAACGGAAGAAGGAATATGTTAAACTGTGGGAACAACAATTTGGGAAGTCTGGTGGTAGTGGTCATCAGTAGTTTATATGTGTATAAGTTACAGTGATTATGTTGTTTACTATAGAATGTAGTCTATTGAGGCATTTTGTTTTTTGAAATTCTCACACGTAAAACCTTTCAGGCACATAATACAAACTTGACAAGTTTAATATATGACTCTGATATTAAGCCAGTAATCAAACAAATTCACGACATTTTTCATAAATTTATCCAAAAAATATTAATGAATTTTCGTCAAATTATTGATATTGTAACATTGCCAACTGTTAAAAAAACAAGAAGAAATTGTTTTTTACATTTTTTACAACAATTTTAATTAGCATGATAAAATAACAAAAAAAAAACAAATTTACAAAAAATTTACTTGTAAAAATCCGTTCTTAAAACTGTCTCACATGCACTCTCCAAACTTTGAGTATGAATATTCAAAAGTTTAGACTACGATCAGTTTTATCTGTAGTTATCACATTTCGTTTTCATTTTCTTTATCTGGGTTTTCAATTCAATATTTCATCAAAACTTTGTTTTCACTTCCTCAAAAATTTATTAAAATGTTCAACGCCCTTTTTACACTCTGTGGCGTCTGTGGGTTGGTCGCATTGTTAAATGACATTTTGAGATGTCAAATATACATACATCACTTACTTCCCATGGTCCATGCAAATATTCTTTCATCGATAACCTGTCTACACCATTTCAACAGTTTTTTTGTTGTTAAAGGTTTGCAGGTAAATATTTAGTTGTTTACTTGGACCTGTCAGCCAAGCGAAACGACTCACGGTGCCTTGTCTGCCCAATCTTCAAGTCACATTGTTCTGAGTTAAAAGATGGCGTTGAATTAAAATAGCGTGTAAAATTTATTGGACCCCGCTGTTACATTTTTAGTTCCCAATAATTAATTCAGAAATACATCGATAAAAACCAGATTTACCACATCAACATCTTCGATCCGTCAAAGACAAAATTCTGTTTGAGTTTATAGCATTACATGTATAGGCTCAAAGAACATGAAAGAGCCTCAAACTACGACGAATAAACATATCAGGAGTTGCCGAACACAGTCAGGAAAAAAAAATCTTGCATGTAATCAATTCTTCTACCAAAGAAAAAGCCGAGAATCCATAGAAATCTCTAAACAACCCAACAATTTTAACCCCCACCAATATGGAAATCAGTTATATGGGACAATGTTCATGCCCCTTTTTTAGCTCCGCGTCTCTCAAACAGTATATAAGTTGGTACAGCGTAGAATAGGAGCGAGTTTCAGTTAACCTCTGAAGATGCGATCAATATGATTGGCCAACGTGAGCAAAGTTCATTTCATCAACAACTGACGCAGGAGGGATCTAGAAGATTGGTAAATAGTTTTCTGAAGAAAATGTTAATTTTGACAAGTAACGAATGCCGCTCTCATCGCAGTTGTCTGTGTTCTTTTTATTTTACAGAAATTTTAAAAAAATCCTTATACGCATCTCAAAAAATTAAATGCTAATTATTCCGTTCAAATATTCCAAATAACCAACATCTGCCCATTCCCAATTTCCAAGTTTTTCTTTATTTGGTACAATAATTTATTGATCTGCGATTAAGTCAACCGACAAGAACTTCATTCGAATTTTTTTTTTTTTGAATATTAGTATTTATTTTCAATTATTAAGTTATACGAAGGATATTAAAAGTAAAACTAGCGAAATACAAAAAAAAAAACAGACAAAAATTTAGTGCTTTTAGTGACTAAATGCTAAAATTGCAAAAAAGTGGTATAAGCTTTCATATAAAATATGTTGATTATTGAGGTACAACTGAAATTAACACTTTTTATGCAGGTTTAGGCTAAACGAGGCCCTGGCTACCGTAAATACAAGTGTAATATTTCTGGCAAGCAGATTGCCTTAAAATCATTCAAAGAATAACTTTCCAAAATTGGGTCATGTATTTAAAGAACATTTACACAAATATATTAAGTTGGGTAAAAAGCTTTAAAAACCAACAAATCTACCAAAAACTAACACAATAAAATAAACAAGTAAAACAGTTCGCAACATTTTTTTTTTAAATATAGGTAAAATGTAAATCGCATTATCTATACTTGTTCGACTGAGCACCGCCATGCTAAAAAAGAGAAGCGTGTTCTACACACCGAATATATTTAGATGTACTTTAGTACACAGTCAGTGGGGCAACGTTGCTCGGACGCTCAGAATTCTGCGCAATAAATGAAAAATATACGCTAGGTTGCAGGGATGTAAAAGTTTTCACGCCTATATAGCAGGCTGGCAAGTCACCCCTACACCATTGCGTTCGAAGTGATTTCGGAGCGCGAGCATTGAAAATGCCAAGTGAGATCTTGGCGAAACTTCTACAATTGGAGTTCAAAAAATCAGACACTGGTTACTCTGTGACATACAAAATTTGTATATTTCAATTTATCCATATTCAATTGTGATATCTGAAAATTGGCAACGTCTTTTACAAAAATGCAGACTGTATCCTTGTAAATATTTCAGAATAGTTTTAGGAAAAAAAGATCTTACGCATCTGTGGCACGCAATCTTAAATTAGTTATTAATAACTGTAAAATTTTTTGTCTGAAGAAATTCTTTTGTTAGGACAGGTAGGTACATAAAAATTCTACTAAATTGATATATTTTTCATTGCGTTTACTAGGTAGTAGGTCGCTTCAGAGCCACCCTTAAATTCTAAAACAAATTTGTATTAAGTATTGGACGGTTTTACCTAGAAACTTATACTTTTACATTTAGTATACCTTAGCACAGACTTGCATATTTAATGCAAAAAAAATCACCAGTATATATTTTCTTCATTTGAAGTTGCAATTGTGCTGAGTGCAACAAATATGCCTTGTGCATATGTTGCTATTTTTTTTTCTGCCACTGAAATAATTTACCAGTTTTATAAGTAGCAGGATTTGATCGAGCAAGATGAGAGTAAAAAATTCCCCTTATAATATCAAGCACATTTTTTGAGGAATCTATTAAATGCTATTTACAAAACTTCTGTATTCCTCCTACATTCGTTGTTTTTGAATTGAATTTGCAGACGTTTCGCCAACCATTATGTTGGCTTGTTCAGGGCTTAACTGAAACTGGCTTGCATTCTACTCTGTACCCGCTTATATATTGTTTGAGGAGGAAGTAGCTAAAGGAGGGACACGAACATTGTATCGGATTACTGATTCCAATATTGTTGACGGATAAAGACCTGAGTCGCGGTTGAGATTAAGATTAAAGCAAATAAAGGTGGTTATGAACACAATGAATATTAGGGTATTCTTACAGACGGATGCTTTCGTCAACTTAAAAAAGATCCTACGTCAACTTTGGAACGCAATCTTAAATCTGTTATTTATTAAGGCTTCTTCTATATCCGAATTTTTGAAAAAGTGTCAACCTTTATAAGTCTAAAATTCCTTGTCCCTACGGACTCGCTAAGATTCAGAAACCAGGATTACCTCTTCATTCAATTGTCAGCACCTTTGTAGTTTACATCATTCCGTGCATATGCATATAATATTAGCTAGACTCAAAGAATATGAAAGAGCCTTAAGACAAATAAACTCATTAGCAATTATCGAACACAATCACGAAACTTTTTTTGCATTCTTCTACCAACTAAAAGTCCGATAATCTATAGAAATCTCCTGAGATAAGTAACCAAACAATGTTAACCGCAACTCAGGTCTTTCCCTGTCACCAATATGGCAGTGAGTCATCCGATAATGTTCATGTCCCTCCTTTAGCTCCTCCCACCTCAAACAATAGTAGAGTAGTAGAGTAGAGTAGAATGCTAGCGAGTTTCAGCTAAGCTCTGAAGAAGTCAACAGAATGATTATCGAAACGTCAGCAAGTTCAATTCAACAAGAACCGAAGCATTTCTCTGAAAAATTAATGTATTAAATAGTTGCCCTAAGTCGTTGTATTTGGATTAAACTTGTAATTAATAATTAATCACTAATGCACAAAGTAAGTTGAAAGTAATCTAAGTTAAACATTTGGCAAGCAATAACTGTTTGCATGATCATAGAAACATGAATTAACTACTTCGGACGACCGTTGAGTTTCTTCTTTCTTGATTATCTACATCTTGACTGTAACAACTGTTTGTAGCAGACAAGCACATACAGAGACTAATTATAAATATTAAATTCATTTAATATAATGTCCTTTAGTTGAACAATTAAGTCCAACCTACTTTGTTGTATTGGTATATTCGATAGGTCTTGGTATATTCATTGAAGATATTGAAATTAACCGTTTTGTTTTGTTCCTATTTGAATCCATTGATTGGAATTTTCCAATCGATTGGCAATTGGCTGGGTGATTTTAAGTTCCGTTTTACTACAATTTGTTTTTCGTGGATTTTCGTGCAGCAAGGTGATTTCGCAAATACTACTATGATCATTTTTCTCAAGTTCTTCATGAATAGAGGCAAATAAGCTCTTAGTAGTTTCTTTGCATATGTCTGTCAATTTACAAAACAACTTAACGCGTTTCGATAATTTTTTAAACGATAATACAAACCAAGATAAATACATGAAGATTATTACTCGCATGGAAAACACGGAAACGGTGTTTAGCGCTTTCAAAGACGTTCAATGGGCAAATTGAAATATTCGATATAAATGTTTTAATGTTATTTCACAAGCCAAACAAATTATTCAAAATTTTAGTCATCGCTGTCGTGAAGAAAGATTAAATCAAGTTTCATTTGCACAGCCTTCGGCGACTGTTTGCACAAATCAACAAATTAATTATCAATTACTTCCCATAACTTTGCCAAATTTTGACGGCAGCTATGGTAATTGGGAATCATTTCGCGATACATTCATTTCTTTGGTACACAGTAGCAATAGCTTAGTAAACATTCAAAAATTTCACTACTTCAATTTCACTTTAATCGCACCGCTTTTCAAAACAGACCGATTCTTTAGAAATAACTGATTCTAATTACACGGTAGAAGGAATTTACTTAACAATCGTTTCGAAAACCAAAAGGGCGCTATCAAAGCTTTCATCAGATATATTTTCGAGCTCACAAATGTAACAAAAGATTCGCACAGTTC